AATTCTGCCCTTAGAGATCTAGCTGGAGTCCTGCAGAGCCAGTCTGGATGACCTCTGGAGGGGGCGAGGCTCAATTGGAGGGCTACCTAAGGGCATCTAGAGATGTTGGGGAGAAGGGAGGGGTCTTCCACTCAGGGCTGCCCGATTGAACCCCCTCCCTCTTTCCCGCAGAGCTGGTCTTCCCCTCCGTGGCAAATGTCTTCTACACCAGGAAAGGCTTCAGGTGGATTTATTGGAGATCATCTAGTCCAACCCCCTGCTTGGGCCTACACCATTTATACCATTGACCAGGAGACCCTAGCCTATACCATTTGAATCTGAACCCCCAAAGAGGGAGGAAGGGAGGTGTTGGGTGCCAAAATGAGGCATGATCTTCCTCCAGTTATGAAGGAGAAAAATGGTTGAAATGGACGGGTCAATGTAGGGGGGTCTCAAGTGCCCCCCAATGGCTCCCCACAAATGTTCAGGGAAGACCCTGCCTGCTAGCATTCTGCTCTTCCAAAGGGGGCTTGAGGGGAAGCAGAGCAAGGAGGCCTCTGAGCAGGAGGGGGGGTCCTTCCCCTCCCCTCCCCGGATCTGCCCACCATCCTCCCGAACCAGTTCTGTCTTCGGACCCCCAAAGGAGCTGGGATCCAGAGGCAGCAGAGGGAGGAGCCTCCTGTGGGGGCGGCAAAGAGGAAGGAAGGAGTCCAGGGTTTACTGCTTCTAAAGTTTATTCTTTCATAGCAAAGTGAAGGGAAGGGAAGTGATTCATAAGAAGAATAATGTAGATGAAGCTGCTGTGGGTTCAAAGCCAGGAGAGATGAAGGGGCTAGAGGGACAGGTCGGCCCAGCATCCCAGGGGACAGTCTAGATGGTCTCCACCCCTCCCTCGCAAGAAAGGGAGGCCCCCAAAGGAAGCTACCATCCTCCTCCTCCCCCCAACCTGCCACCTTCAGCCTCCATTTCTCAGAGGTTGCAAACAGGACAAAGAATCATCAGCTACTAAAGAAAAAAATATCCTTTGCATCAGAGAGCAGGATTAATCCATGAGGGCTGCAGAAAAAGAGACAGGGAAGAAAATTAGAATAGAAAGAGACATTTTTTGTGTAAATAACATTTTTCTTCTTCCCTTTCAACCCGTCAACCCCAAGGCAGGCCCACACTGCAGGGGGGTGATTGACAGGCAGGGACAAATAGCGGGAGAATCTGCCCATTTCAGGGAGGAAAAGGCTGGGAAGGACCAGGGATTCCTCCCCATTTCATCTCCAGGGGATTCTGGGATTCTCCCTATTTGTCTTAATTAGAGGGTTAATCAAGAGGAGAGACCCCCCAACCCTCCCCCCTGCAGACATTTCCTATGAGCAAACGACATGGGGCCAGGATGGGGGTTGAAGAAAAGGGAGGAGACTGGGGGTCACTTGGCCAGAAATTGTGTGAATTCCCACAAGGAGAAGCGGGGTCAGGAAGAACAGCCTGTCAAGGTTCTGACTAGTGAACCCAAATGAGTCTCCATGGAGAGCCAAGAAGGATCATCTGCGACTGGGGGGAGGGGAGGAAGGGGTCCAGTTCACAGTGGAGTTTTGGAGGGAGTTCATGAAGGTGATAGGATCATCATTCTCAAGGGCTTAGCTCCACCCTCCATCCGAGTACGGACGGAGCTGCAGAACGAGCTAACGCTATTATAGAACAATACCTGAGATGCTGTGTTAATTATCAGCAATCTAGCTGGGAAGATCTCTTGCCATTTGCTGAAGTGGCCCAAAATACCACAGTGCATATTAACATGGGACTCACCCCTTTTAAAATAGCCACAGGGATGGAATTTGTCCCCATGCCTGAATCCCCCCAGGAACCCCCCCTCCACAGTGAGCCTAAAAGGATCGGTGGGTTGCTTACAAAATATTGGGGGGGATCCTCCTCCCCTTCCCTTCCCTCCTTCCCTTCCCTTTTGCAATTTCCCAAAACTTGGAAAAATTCTGCGCAAGATTTTAGCGTTTCTGTGTACTTTTCTTTTTGATTGCAATATTTTTTCTGATCTCTGTAAGGAAAAGCTGCCCAAAATTCAAAAATTTGCTATATCCACAGAAAGGAGATATTTAAAAAAAAATATTTAAAAAAACACCTATAACTTGTAGGAGAGGCTGAGATGAGGGAGGAAGAGGAGAAACTCACCTGCAGGAGGTTGGATGGGAGTGGCTGGAAGGAGAAAAAGAGCCAATCAGGACCCTTCATGGGCTGGAGGACTCAGGGGGTCCCCCTCCCCACTGATAGCCCATAATAGGTTGGACGATCTTCCCTTATAGCCCCCTTGAGGAACAGAAGTTCCCAAAACTATTCCTCAAGGAGACCCTCTTGGCCACCTGCTGAGCTTGATGAGAGTCCTCCCCTAGATGGTCCCCTCCCCACAACCTCTCCTCCAGCCCCCCCAGACTCACCTTTCTTGCTCTTCAGGTAGGAGAAGAGCCCCACAGCCAGGAAGGCCGCTCCAATCACGGCCCCCATGATCCCTGTCCACAGTTTGCTCTTGGCAGAGCTGGAGGAACGGGGCTCTGGGGAAGGAGAAGGAGCCTCACCTGAGCAGGAGGATCAGGCCCACAGTCCCCCAGGAGGGTCCACTCCGGCTCCCCCCATAGGGTGGGTCTCTCCCCCTTCTCAGGGCAGGAGGGGAGGGGGGCTTACCCCACTGGACGGTGATGGGGGCTTCCAGGCTGACATGCCCCACCTGGCAAGTGTAGACGTCCCCCCGCTG